CCCCCCCCCATGCCTGCTTGCAAGTATTGTTGTTGACAATGTACGTCTGGCAGCTATACCAAGAACTATACTGCCGCAAAGGGGGAGAGCATGCCCTTCATTCCTCGACGGAGCACTAATGCCCTCCTCTCACACTTCAATATTATTTCGCTGCTGATCGGTAACTTCCAGGTCGAGTCCTCGGGACCTCCGCTGCAACATCGTTCAAAGCGTTTTCTCGGGTCCTCATGGCGTTCACAATGGGTCGAAGCTTTGACGGAGGAGGGGGGAATTGTTTCGATGGTGTTGGGAACGTAAAGAGGTATATTTCTGCAGTCTCTGCACTGTTTCTGGAGGACATTACTGTCGCAGCTGGCTACGTCTCAGGCAGTTACGTTTTTCCTTGACTAGAGTTAGTTGTAGAATTTGGGACGGTCAGGCTGGGGGGGGTTCTACCTCTGCGTTTGGACAACACCGCTGCCGCTACGTGTAGCTGTTGTCTCCGGCTGAGCGGTGTTTCCTAACAACAACGGTAGTTTGTTGCGGGGGTTGGGGGTCGTCTCCATGATCGACGTCGCTGACGGTCATGGGCGAGGGCATGCTGTTGTGGGGGGACATTCAATATACAGAACGACGTTCGGAAGGGTATGTATGTATTGTTTCAATTTGAAGTAAATTTTATGGTTCTCGCTTACATGTAATCGTGCAACAGGGATGTTGACGACCCTGGGTAGAGATGATAGGCCGCGGGCGGAGATGGGTTAAACCTAGAGCTACTGGAAGTGTCGTTGTATCAGCGGTTTGCTCAGGAATGTACCGACGGTAAAATTGTAGCGATTCGAATACAGGGGCGAAAAAACAAATGAAACATGCCCGCCACTTACAGTGTTGAGCATTGCAATTTGATGTAACCGTGAGCAATCTAGAAGAGAAGGTAAGCATTGCAATACCATCGGCAACCTGCCCGTCATCGGCTTGTGCGCAACGCGTCAACCTGCAAGAAAGGGCACACCTTGCACTGTCACCGGCAACCTGCCCCCCAACCGGTTTGTGCGAAGCGCGCCAACCTGCAAAAAAGGATACCCCTTTCCGACTTGAAAACAACGCACAACCCCAAAGAAAGGTATACCTTGCACAACCTGGCCATCCTTGCATTGCGAGGATTACCCAAGGTGCGGAGGTTGCAACCCGTGCCAAAATAATCTCGATTCAGGTTGGAAAATGTGCCCCTACAACCCGGTCTGTTGGCCACCCGTGCACTTAGCATGACAGCTGCTGAGCAGAATCGTGTCAAGAAAACAGTTGATGTTCACTACAAGGAAACTTCTTCTAGAAAATGACAAACGAAACGAATAACCATTAGCCTTGTCTGCTCTGCTTCTCCAGCAGCATATCAGACACAACATGCACGCCTGCACTACTGCGTTTCTTCATACGAAGGTGGGCGATATTGTACGTATCGCTGCATGCCTATTGTTATCGCGTGTACAATGCAATGTAATTATCTCACACAGTACGGGCAATTTAGTCAGAGATCGAGCGCTAGGTTTCATCAGCTGCGTACAATGAATACGGAAAAATTAGTAAACTGCAAAAAAAACTTCATACAGGCAACGCCGAAGCTACTCATCGCGTTGATGTCACAATACTGTAGGTCGGGTGGTAACTAAAGGTAGACAGTCTACGCATAGACGTAAACGAAGAGCAAGCCGGACTACATTCATCTTATGTAACTGCTTTCGGAAGGCCGGACTGACCCTCTCTGGTTTTTGTTTTGGATTCGATTCACAAGTAACTAGGGTACCGAAGGCCCCCCTCGCCCCCAGTGGGCGGGGGGCCCGAATCGCAAGCAAGAGTAGTCGAAGACGGTGAAAAGTGGATGAACGGGACGACATCGTTGGGAAGCATGTCCGTGCGCAGAGAGAGTTTGAAGGCGAGGCACGGCGTGATGCGTGATGTCCGCATGAGTACATGTGAAGGTCATGAACGGCGGGGCCGAAGACGGGACTATTCTCATGGAAATGCTGTAACTTAGACATACGCTGATGATGCGTTGTGTTGTCGATATCGTCAATAGGCAGCAGGATCCGAAAAACACATGCGGAAGGAACTTAATAACACCATCATGAAGAATGAAATGTCCACGCCGAACGGTGCCTTCCCGCTTTTTAGTTCAAGGATGCTCATATAATTTTGAGAAGATAGAGCGAAGAAAACCGAGGTATGCAAGAAATAATCCCATCGTGTATTCGACAAAACGACTGATTGACGATGTGAACCGAACACAGCACGAGCTCAACGGATGGGAAGATAGTGTACGTGCTGACGCCCCAAGGGTGCAAACAAAACGACAGGAAACGCGGGTCAATAACAATGAGACATGAAAGTGGACGTCATGACGTCTGCTGGCAAGAACACGCTTTGGTCCCTATTTTCAAGTTTATCCCCCAACACTCTGTAGGTTGTGGAGGCAACTAAACGCTCCCCCGCCAATTGAAGCCCGCATGACACAAAAGCTGAAAAGCACACAAACGGCAACATTGATGATACAAGAGAGGGTAAAGTTGACTGTATTCCATATCAATGTGTGGGGCGAAAGCGTGCGTGCCCATAACCACCTACATATTGTATCCTAGTTGAAATAACGAGGTCCTCAGACTTACTTACGTACCCGCGAGTTCCAAAATGCAAATGGCCACATGGAGTAGCGGGATCCAACGCCAAATCACAACAAGTACGGTCCAGCGTTTGTTTCCTTGGACAGGTTGGAAAACGGTAGTCATACCGAGCAAAACCCTTGTCGGCAACGTGGTGAGTATCGTTAAAAATACTGCCACACAAAATATAAATCTCCGACTGTCTCGAGTTTGAATTGGAGAATGTGTGGCCTGGCGTCGAGTACAGCATCTTCCCTATATCGGGTGTAGACAAAACATTGTTGAGGCTCCGTGTGAAGAAAATCATTGAAAAATCTGCGCGGCTCCGCTGAGCAAGCGGCTTGCGCACAGCAAACCCCGGCCGAGAGTAAACGTGCAGGCCGTCGCATTCAGTCTCTCACAACAGAGATGTGGGGGCGAGCGCAAGAAATGAAAAACGAAAAAAAATCTACACCTGCTCTATTTTCAAGTTGTTGTTGTTGTCTTCAAATTAAAAACGGTTAAGATCTCTCTCTACCCAGTATCTTCCCGTCCGGCTGCTTACACAATGATCCCGCGAATAGCAGGCGTCGTTGTCGGATCGTGGCTTCAACGCTCTGGCATTCGACCCTCTTCAGCGTCTGGGCGTAAGAGAGCTGCCGGTAGGTGCTTTTCTTGCGCTTGTACCCGATAACTCGGAGGAGCAGTCGGTGGTGTATCGACCGCAGCGTCTGATAGTGGCCGCTGAGTGGTGACCATGTCATGCAGCCGTACAGCAGTGCCTCCATCGCCTCCGCCTGGAGCAGGCGAATATTGAGTCGGAATGGCGCTTTCGGTCTGTCGAAGGGCTCCAGGCCATATCGCCTGAGGCACGACCACGCTCCTCTGCTCCTGTAGTTGATCTCCTGGGTGAGGTCGCCGCGTTCGTTGACGAGGCCACCGAGGTACCGGAACTCGGTCGTCTGGGCGTATTTCTGCCCCGCGGCTTCGATAATCAGCGGTGGAGGCGGGGGGGGCTGTGATGCTGTAATCGGCTTGTCCTATGCGCGCATCAGGAGCGCCTCCGTCTACTCCTCCGACACCATCAGCCCGAACTCCGCGAACACCTCAACGAGATGGTAATCATTCTCGCCAGTCCTCCTGCAGACCTCGATACTACGTGGGCATTATCGACCTACAGCATCCCCCATACTGCCCTCCGTACTCGGTCAAGGGGTGTCTCCTCCCCCCCCCCCGCTTCCGTCCNNNTCCCCTCCTCCAAGCACACCAGCCTCCGCAGAACAACACCATCCTCGCTGAATCGGATGACAACGACCTCGAGGACCTCGGCGAAGAAGATGTTAAACAGCAGTAGGGATAGCACTTATCCTTGTCGCACGCCTGTGCCACGAAGAACCAGTCCGATAGTTCTCCGTCGTCCATTCGCACCCTGGCCCGCATTCCATCGTGGAATTGGCGGATGACTTCGATCAGCCTCGCGGGGATCCCGGCCCTCGCCAGCACCTTCCATTGCATCTCTCGGTCCACCGAATCATACGCCTTGTTTAAGTGGACGAAGGACATGTAGAGCGGTATTTGCTTTCTCCGCCCCAGCTCCTAGAGGCGGCGCACGACGAACAGCATATCGACGGTGGATTGCCCGGGTCGAAATCCGCACTGTTCCTCCGGGAGGATGTTGTTGGCTTCGCAGAAGGCTCTTAGACGGTTGGTGATGATCTTGATGGGGACCTTGTCTACATGAGATAATAGCGAAATCCCCCTGTAGTTTTTACAGTTTGGACCGGTCACCCTTCTTGTACAGCACCCTCATGGTTGCATCGTTCTACTCTCGCGGAACATCTTCTCCGTTCCACACCTTGACGAGGATGGTATGGAGGTGTTCCAGGACGAAGAGTTCATCGTCATCGATCTTGAGCAACGCGGCAGGGAGGGAGTCATGGCCGGGTGCATTCCAGTTCTTCGGGCATTTCGTTGCCCGTGCTACCCCAAGTTTTGCACCTCTCCCAACCGTAGAGTGTCACGTGTCGCTGGCCGCTGCGTCACTCGTTCGATAAATGTCTGGGGTCCGGGTGGGGGATTTGGTGTTGAGTAGGGTGCTGAAAAATCTCGCCCACCGCTGGTGGATGTCGTCCTTGTTTCGGAGCAACACGCCGTTCTCATCTGCGACGAACTGCTGTCCCCCCGCTTATTATCCGCTGAGGCCCACTGATCTCTGGAGGTGTTGGTACAGTCCTCGCATGTGGTGATCTTTGTAGATTGCTTCAAGTTCAGTCACATATCCGTCCAGGCGGGCATACATGCCCGTTTCGACTGCTGTAGCCACTCCCTTACACGCTGCTTTGAGAACCCTTGCTGAGTTCCAGTTGCCCCTCATCGCCCGGTGCGCTTCCCGCCGTTCGGGAAGGGCCTGCTCCAGCGCTGCTCTCGTCTCTGGGGTCTCACGCCACTCCTGCGTGCGGCGTCTCCGCGGTTCCTTCCCCAGGGTCATCCGCGATGCTTCGAGGAGAGCTTTGGTAAAGTCGGTCGCCAATTCCGTGGCGGTGGTTGTTCGCTCGTCCAGCCGTGTGTCGAGGTTGAAGAGGAACCGATTAGTTACCATCTACCGTACTTCTTCGAACCGCACTTCCCGTCGGTTGAATTGCTTCTTTTTCGGTGTAGTCCGGACTGCACGGCTGTGGGCAAGCCTGCCACCTAGGTTGACGGTGGCTACTACCATATAGTGGTCTGAGGCTGCTTTGACTGGGCGAACCGGTTGGGGGATGACAACCAATACTAGGCCGTGATATGCCCGCCTTGTCAGGATGTAGTCAACGCGTTTCCAATCGTTTCCCGACACACCATTGTTTGTGTGCCACATTCCGCCCTTACGTGTCTCGAAGAACGTGCTCATGAGAGCTAGCCTGTTTTCCGTTGCGAAATTCACCAGCAGCATGCCATTGTCGTTGAGCTCATTTCGCCAATACATTGCTATTATCCTTCCGTCTCCTCCGTCCAACCTATCTCCCGTCCGCGCGTTGACGTCCTTTAGGACACACATTCTTTGGAAGGGATCCTCCGCACGAGACTGTCAAGTTTTCCCCAGAACACGCGCTTGCTGTCGGCGGTTGAATGTTCGGTTGGAGCATACGCGGCTACCAAGTTGACCGCTCCACGGTGGCCTGCCAATAGAAGCCTCATGGCCATAAACCGTTCGTCGATAAACTCCGTAGTGAACGTGGATGCCTTGCACATTGACTCTTTGACGGCTAACCCCATCCCATGGACTCAACCAGTCTTCGTGTCATAACACCCGGAAACCCGCTGCTGCAAAATTCGTTCGAGCTGCCCTCAGTGTCTCCTGCATACCTACAACCGATACGTCTTGTCTCGCTGCCTCGTGTACAACGCTATTGGCTCGCCTGTATCCATTGGCCCCGTGTTCAGCCAAAGCCCGCACATTCCAGGTTGATACCCTAAAAAGTTGGCCCTGCTGTCTCTTTCGCGCGGCGCGCGGTGCTCTCTCAGCTAGCGTACGCGCCGCGCTACCCCTCCTTTTCCTCCATCTACCCCTCTGTTTTTGATTTCTTGCTATTTTGTTGCGAACACTCGGGCTCCGGTTCTTGCCTGCTGGTCCTGTGACAACATTTCTGGACACGCCACATTGACTACCCACTCGCACTCAGATCATGCGTTTGTCGACAGGAGGTGCTTCGCGCTGATTCGGGCATAAGAACAGCTATCTCAGGGCAATGGGGCGGGTATGGAAGTGTCAATCGTGACGTTCCGGTTTCCTCGAAGTAGAGCCACGTAGGAGATACTCCCAAGGAGTCCCTTAGCGCGGCGACCACAGTATGGCGACATCTCTAGACCATAGGTGCATCTGTTGGTCGGCAGCATCATGTGACAGGTACACGACACGCACACGGATGTTCGAATTGCATTGAAGAATGCTTGCTCGTCGCAGGAAGTATCCCATTCAAACATGGTCGTCGCGGTAGGCAAACGTTCTTGGTCGATGTTTGGTCCATACTGCTGTACCCCAAAAACAATATTGAACCGTCGGGATTTTTTTCCCCATACCAAACGCTGATTCTTCGACTATGCGTTTGGATTCCCAATCCAAAAAACATCACGTTTCAGGATCGGAAAGTTCGAGCTAGAAAATATCCGGCCGTTTTTCAGTGAACCGGATTTGTCAGGCGGACTCTTGGGGGGTGGGTGATTGGAGGGTGTAGATCAACCCAGGCGACCTAATCATCGCGTGACCTGAGTTCTTTGATTATCGCTCCCATGAAAGACTCCGAGCAACCCTACGCTAAGGGGTTGCTCGGCTAACCCAAACATGGAGACCCCGAAACAGGCCAAACCGCCACGAGACAGCACAAAGCGCTGCTTTTGCCAGAGACCGGAGGACATCGCAACTGATTTCTGGCTCCCTGGGCGATCGATCGAAGCCAGACCGGCCACGATGTACTCTCTGTTCCTTGCTCTCTCCCGAAGTAGACTGCTCAGCAGCTCGCTGATCCCATCATTCGAAAGCTTCGTCTGCGTGTGCATAAGCTGTCTGTTGAAATTGTTTTCAGGCCGTCAACACTTCAGTCTATTCTCGACTGAAGCAACACAGAACACAATCAGAGGTCGAAAGAGCAACGGACACCATGCGAATGCTTCCCTCCGTCGAATAAAAGTACGTTCTGGTCCATACGCGACAATAATGAGTCGCGGAGCGCGAAGCGCGACCTTTGCTTCCTTCTTGCCCACGAGGGAAAAAAAGACTCCATATATCGGCCAAAGTTGCGTCGCGCGATACAGGGGCCCCAAAACTTGATTTCCGGCAAGCCTATATAGCACACCTTTGGGACCAGAACGAGATCTATAGGGCGCCAACCGACTGCTCCAAAAACAGCAGACCAATGACCACGAACGAACACCCCAAATAATGCACCTTCCCAACTCCAGGTCACACCGAACGTAGAGAGAAACCGTCGAGGGCGTGAGGGTTCAGGCTGCGTACTTGCCCCGCCCAACTGACTGTCTTCGAAAACAAGACTGCTTGCTTTCACTTCGCGGGAAAAATGCAAGGCTTGAGACGAATGCGGCGGCAAGTTGTGAGCCTGACGCAATACTTGCTATCTGTCTTGTCACTTGCCAATGTGTACGCTTCCCGTTGTGCTCCTATTTTCGTCCGCAAAGCGGGAACACTTCACACTTTGTTCCTTCGCAGGTGTGTGCATGCATGTGAATCAACGGAAAAGAAACAACCTTTTAGCGCAAAAAAGTGCAAAATGTTGACAGGGGCCACACATACAACCATCGTCGCGCCCGTCGTACCGTTGCAGCCTGCCCATCTGGTGCACGCGTAGGCACACCACAAACGATTAAAGCTGCTGTGTGTGTCGGGATTCGTGCACCATCAGAATCGCAGATAACACTACTGCAAGGTATTGAGTCGCTACCTCGAGCTCAGTACCCCGCTCTATCTACTGCAGTAGCAAGAAATGTGTCAGGGCACGACGACCATCCATGTAGATATAAATATCATCATAACATGATGCTGCTGCGCGGTGGCGCAAGAGAGCCATGCCCAAGAAGATGACAAGGTGTTCGGTGTCAATATTGATAGGTGCGGAGGGACACTTCGATTCGGTGGTTCTCCCCATCTGCTGTGTTGTTGTGCGTTGTGTCCGCATCCACCTCCTAGACCCACCATGGCGGTACCTGTTGGTCGATGAGGTTTCTAAACGTGATCCCAAGGTCCGAAAACACACCGTCCAAACAACAAAATTGGTCAGAGCGGTCGATGCAAACAACGAAAAAACAATTACGCAGTTTCTGTAATTAAAGGGGCGCAACCCTTATGAACCGCGGAGCGCGAAGCGCGACCTTTTTCCTGTCATCCCCAGGAGGGAAAAAGGCAATAAACATATATCGTCTTTGTTCGACCACAAAACGTCTATAATTTGCTGGCTTGTGAGGCGGACGCTATGAAGGTAGGTCACTCCGTCACAACAGATGGCCGTGCTTGACACAGGAGTAGTCTCCAAAATCATCGCAGGACCCTTTCCTCGGGAGTTTTCATCGATGAAGCTAAACCTCAGCGCAGAGCAATCAACTGTAGATCGTCGGCTAAACATGCAAGAACTCGCTGGAGGTGTTGAACTACACTGACCTGCAGGCAAACGGCCGCAAGGCGGCTCCCGGCCGGTGTCCTACCGACACATGACCCGGGTAAGCGAAGATTCATGGCCCAACGTCCTAGTTTCTTGCTCTCTCCACTCATCTACCTTCTGCCTCGCTACTGGAACTGGGTTGCATGCGTTTCCACCACACGGAGAACGTTGATACGCTAGGAAGAGCCAGGTGTCCCGAAAAAGTGGACCGACAGACGTCTATGCCTTCCTGCAATGTTGCCCACAAGAGGGAAAAAAGTCTTTCCCGGCACGAGGAGATATTGAACTCCGTTTGTTCACTTCTTTCTCGCCGTCGCCACCAACCAGTATGCTCCAGGGCTAAAATATTACCCAGATATGATACCCAACTACGTACACACCAGCAGAGGCAGGAGCAGTTTGTAGACTTCAGCACGCTGAGGATATCATCTTTTAACCACTATCAAACTCGCTGGCTGCAATATTTGTATACACACGTGCTCACCTTTTGGTCGTATACGTAGATACTTTTGTTATCACGGCAACGGCTGAAGTCGAAGCATGGCGCGGACCAAGGGGAACCACAGTGCTTCGCCTTTCCAAAGCTTACCAGATCGAAACTCGAGCAGCGGTTGGAAACGTTCGGAGGAACATTCTCTAGCGAAGTGAAGTTTG